GGCTCAGTTCATGCCCAGCTCTAGGAGTCCAAATACCATAGGAAAGGCCCTTGAGCTTGTCCTCACAAGAAAGGAAACCAAAAGCTTCCTCCTGAAAGCAGCAATTACACATGCCCCACCACTCTGTGGCAGAGTCCCCTTAGAAAGCCTCACAATCCCCTCAGTGCCGTTCCACAGGAGGAGGCTGTGATTAGCCATGACAGCCACTGCCAAGTCTTGCCTTCCACTTGGGCTCCAGCTGCAGGTCTGAGTACTGACCTGAGCTCTCTCACAATACCAGGCTGCATCTGCCACCAATGCAAGCACAGACCACAGCTGCCTGCCCACCCCCATCCTCCCATGTCCACCTCCTGCAGTTTAGCACAGGAAATGGAAAGAGGCATCTCTGCCCACATGCAGAGAAAAGGCAGAGTCGGGACTGGAACAGCTGGCTGCTCCTCATCCCTCAGACCTTCCCTTTGCACCACACATGCCACAGAGACTGTCCCTGCCAGCCTGTGGGGGTGGCTCACTTGAGGGGGAATGCTTTTAGGTTCTGAAAACCACCCAGAAAGGTGGACAGACAACCTGCTATGCCAACAGCAAGATCCTGCAGGGAACAGGACCAGCCAGGCTGTCTGGGATGAACAACCTCTGGCTCACAGGCACCTCAGGATGGCACCGATCAGACGAAGTTCTGTCATTTTTCCTCAAGCCATGGACCTGATGCTGCCTTCCTGCCAAATTCCAAGGCAGGTGGTGACCAAGAGGAAAGCTCCCATCTCAGCAGCTCCTGCCCCTGCTTGCTGGTGCCCACTGCAAGCTGAGACACATTCCTGAGCTCAGGCACCACTGCTTCCCCAGAGACACCATGTTGCTGTTGGGGTTCCTGAGTTTCTGTGCCACTGCCCAGGCCAAGGGCTAATATTGAGTCCCCCATTCAGACCAAGAGCCTCACTAAAATGAGATAATTAACCCTACATTGTTAAACGCAAGCAGAAATCTGTGTGCTTGGTGTCTTGCCCTGCCTCATTTTTCTTGCCTTTCTGCAGCTCTAGTCCACTGTCCTGCGTCACCTGCACCCCTGAGGCCTGGCAGCACCCGTGAAACAGCAGGGAGGGGGCAAGGGCAGGGTTAGGGATCCCTGTTGGAGAGAGATGCCTTGGCGAGAGGTGCGAGTCTCGCAGCTGGGTTCTGCCTGTGCCGTGAATAGACAGCTGCCCTCGCACCTGCAGAGGGAGGGGGCAGTGACAAGCTGGAGGGTAGGCACCTCCTCGCCCCCCCCCCCCAATGCCTCCACGGGGCACAAAAAGGGCTGTCGGAGGGGCAGCATTTTACCTGCCCTCCGACTGCTCATCACTCCTCCAAACCAACCCCTGGCCGGGGGCTTATCTCCAGGAAGCGGGTTTAGCAGGGAGGAAGTAATTTTCCGCGATGGGGGAGAAACACACCGCATTCAGCAGCGCCCCCAGCCCTGGCCTCCCCATACCAAGCCCCGGGGTGCGGGGACACAAGGGTGGCCCATTGCCCGGGTAGCACGCCGCAGGGGCCAGCCCGGCACCGCGGGGCCCTTTTCCCTTCCTTCCCCTGCCCTCCGCCCCAGCGCAGCGCGGAGCCGGACTTCCCCCGGGGTGCAGGCAGGGCTCTGCCTGTCTCCCCGGGCAGGAGCGGGCAGCGGCGGCGGCCCCGCAGCGGAGGCGCGGAGCTGCGCGGCGGCAGCGCGGAGCGAGCCGGGGCCGCGCCCGCTCCGCTCTCCTGCCCGGCTGCCCCCGCCCGGCCCCCGCACTCACCGGCGGAGCGGCGCTGCGGCCGGGGTCCTCCTCTGCTGTCAGCGCTCAGCCTCGGCTTTGGCAGTTGGAGCAGGAAGGAAGTTGGTGAAGAGAGGAAAAAAAAAAAAAAATAACACTCACACGCAGCGAAAAAAAAAAAAAGAGCGGCGGCAGCAGCCCACCCGCAGAGGAAGCCCTGCGCGGTCCCGCATGCTGCGGCGCTCCGCCGCCTGCCCCGCTTTGTCTGCGCCCGCCCGGCGCCGCGCTGCGCTCTTTTTGCGCAGAGGGGCACGGGGCTTTGTCTGCGGAGCTGAGCCCGGCCGGGGACGCGGGAGTGCTCGCCGTGCGCGGCTTCGGGCTGCTGTGCCTGGGAGCGAGGGGGGCATAGCTTTGTTTTTCTCCCCAAGCTTTTATTTTGTTTATTTTCCTGGTGTAATTACGGTCGATTTCAAAAACTGGCGCTGATTTATACCGATTAAAATATGCGGAGAATCAGGTTGTGTATTCCCGCGTACGTGGGAAGATAAGCAGTATTGCAAAAGGAGGTTCTTATGAACCTCATTTTTCCTGCTACCTGCTGCACTTAATCAGCTTATTGTTCCCAACTCCCAGCCGTTCTCACACAAGCAGTTTCAAAGATCAGCTACCTCAGGAAGAAAAAGCTCTCATTTCTCAGGGTCGCTTATATGATCGAAACTATTTTACACCTCTTACTTTGTGAAATATCAGCAGATTTCCTCTTTCTTTGCCCCTCATGGAGTGCCCACTTAGTTCACCAGTCACATAAATCCTTCATGTAGATAGTCATCAGTGCACAACAAGTAGATCATTGGTTTGCAAACAACAACTCTGGGCCTGCAATGACTGACAGACTGCTTTTAATGCATTTACAACAGCAAAATAAGCAAAGCATATCTATTGCCAATGGGCTTACATTCACTGCCTCAGATCCACATGTCCATTAAAAGTGTTTCTTGTACACAACTTTTTAAAGGTTGTAAACAACTGAGGCAAAGGAATCTTCATCAGGGATTAACAGATCTCAGAAGAGGGGGAATGATTTTTCCAGACAGATATTGCTTTCATTTAGGCTATGGGTGGCACAATGATCCTTACCTCATAAATTTCAAGGGAAAAACAGAGCATATATCTGTCTGACAATGGATTCCCATTTATCAGGGGCTATAGCCTCAGAAACATTTCAAGCTTCCATTAATTAGTTTCACCAGCAAGAAAAATTACTTTATTCTCTGCCACTATTTTTCACTGCTACACACTAACCCTTCCCTTGGGCCAGCACAAGGGACCTGACTTGAATACAGTAGATAGATGAGTTCAAATGGTACCAAGGAAAAAAAAACATGTAAGCAAATGTGTAAGTATATATTGGTGAGTTTTCAACCCAGATAAGTTTCCCCATACTTGTTTATAATGGACAAATGTGGTTAAACCTCTATGCCAGCACCAGTGGCTGAGTGGGATGGGGATGAGGAAAGGACAGAGCAAATTCTTTCAACTACAGTGCCACTTTATGGCAGCTCATATTGTTCATGTAAGCAGTCCTGGCATGGGAAAGCTGTGAAGAGTTGGGAGTGTTAACTATGGAAAGATTTAAGGAAGCCCCTGTGTATTGTACAACAGCTTCTTGTCTTGGTTTCTTTGCTGTCTGGACTAAGTCTCTGATTTCAGTTTAGAAACTGAACACAGTTAGCTGGGAGGAGGTGTGGGTTGAGGTTACTGTTCACTCATGCCTTGGTTTGAAATTTCCTAGGTTTTAGCCACTGTGTACAGTGCAATTATAAGTAGTGTTACTGCATTCATTCTTGCTGAGGAATAATGGAGCTTAGCTTGGTCTCTTTTGTGGGTTTCTTTTTAGTTAAACACCAGACTGCATGTGCCTTTGTGTAGCTATTTACACACTATTTCTAAACACATGTGAGCATAAATTAAGGTCAGTTTATCCACAGATATTCATAAAGGCATAGGGATGTGTAGCTGTGTGCCACCATATGTATGTATGTCCAGCCTACATGGGTTCATCTGCCTAGCATGCAGAGGAAACAGATTTTACTCCTAAATTAGAAATTAGTCAGTATGTAATCACGGGGACATCATGTAATTGCTCTGTGCCTCCTCTTCCTATTCATAAGCAGTGTGAGAAGGAGATGTAAAGGTTGGAATTGCACCATGCCAAGCAGATGGGAACTTAGAAGCCAGGCATGATCCTTTGGGTCAGGATATCCAGCATCCTGCTGGGGAAGCACGTCACTGCTCTGCTGGAAGAAAGGAAAGGTTTGAATCACAATGGAGCAGGACATCACTGAAAGCAAATCTCTACCACCGAGTATTTCATCTTTGACAAACTGATGCCATGCCATGAAAATCATCTCTTGGCAGACATTGTCCAACCCCAGCCAGTTCTTTTGTCTGTGACAGAAGGAGGCAGGGCCAACAGCTAAAGTATACCTGCTTTATTGCAAAAAACATGGTAAAATTTCAAATGTGTTCTTAGCTGGAAAATAATATTTTTACTTAAAATATTTTGTTTAGGTGTTACTTAATTTTATCCCACTGATAACAGCTGATTGTACAATTAGTAGACCACAATAATAGATGTGATCAACCACTAGTGTCTAAGTTTATTTCAAAAAGTTTATGCACAATTTTAAATGCATATCCTTCAACTACACAGCCTGTACTCCCAACAGTCATATATGTCTGCAACACCCTATTGGAAACGATAAACCTTGACTTTTTAAAAAAATGTAAAATTAAAAAAAATAAGGCATTTACTTTTCTGTTTAAATTTGGATTGCTGCCATTAGGTATCCAGTGTTTCTAGATTTGAACTTTTTACAGTGGTAGTACATTGGAGCTTTGTGCTGATAAATGTCATCTCCATCTTCTGTGGAGCAGGTTGCTGGCTACATTTGAGGAACAGAACTACTTTATGACCTTTAAAAGTGACTAATCATGAAAAATTTCACCTGTTAGAATTTCTTATTTTCACCTACTTGTAATTTCCAAAACTGTCTAATTTGGAGCTGAAATTTCCCAGGCTGGAAGCTCTGAGGGAAAAAAAAAAAAGAAATTCAGTCTAGGTAGGGAATTCATGTTTGTAATTTTAAGAGGCTCAACAGAGTAATGCTTTTTAATGCTGCTCTTGTAAAGTGATTTGTTTTGGAACTACTAATTTGCATTTTCAGTGAACTCGGTACATAGTGTTACTAACATTGATTTCTCTCTGATGAATAATGTTACTGAATGCTGTCACTGTCATGAGTTTTGCCTCCTCCACAAGCATTTTACAGTCTCCAGGAAGGCTACAGACACGCTGGGAAGATGACCTCACAGTTCAGCAGATTCACGTCAGCAGGTGCCACAAGGTAAGTGTCAGTTTTGGCCGTGAGTGTCCCCTAGATGGTGTCCTCAGACGGTGTACCTCACTACATGCAGAGATCCTCTTCCCTGCAGAGATGGGAGGGGGTAATCCGGTCCTGAGGCAGTCACGAGGGGATGGGAATGGGCAAGGTGACAGGTCGGGGAGCTCCGACATGAGTTTTCCCTGCCATATGGGGGAGCATCCACTGCACCACAAGGTGCCACCCAACTCTGGCAATCCCAGCACTGCCTTCTCTGACTCGCAGTTAAGTGGGATAAACGGGGTGATACAGCCAATGAAGCATCAATTCATCTCCTCTCAATAAAACACAGGCACAAATTGCCCCGGGATTGGCTTTAGAAGTCAGCATTGTAAGGTTGATCCTGTTATGCCTAGGACACATAACAGGACAAGGTGGTGCCTGTTTTCTTCTTACTTGTTGTTACTCACGCCTTCTGAAGTAATGCAAAGGAGTGTGCAACCTTTGGGGTGGGAAGGAAAGAAAGGGATGGAGGCTAGATAAAATGTCAGACAAGTGTTCAGCATGAAGAGCAAAGAGAGAGAAGGCACTTTGAGGTGCCAACACAAAGCCCCTGTTAAGGGTTTAATTGTGTTTTCCAACCCCAAGTCCTATGAGAATCCCTTCAAACCACCTAGCCACTGGACTTGAGGCCTCTCAGCTGGATGAAGAGCTGACCCCTGAAGACATGACTGTGCTCCATCTCTCCAGCTCCTCCAGAAGTGATTTCTTTGAAAGATGGAGATTGGGGATTTAATACTTGTCTAAGCAGCTTTCAGGCTTGTTAAAGTGCTAATCCCATAACTCCTGTCACAAGCCTGAAGGTGTGCAAAGACTTCACGTGTCACTTCACAATCCCTTGAGGAAGCAAGGGAAACAGGAAGACAGAGGAAGGAAAAGAATTTTGTGGGGATGAGAGGGCAGGGGCAAAACAGCCAGTTTCGTTCAGCGTCTAGCCTGAGGAAGGCTGAGGATGGACAGAGCAGCTCTGTGAAGGAGAGAGAGGGAGTTGGTGGGAGGGGGCGAGTGAGAGGACAGGGCTTGGTGAAGGGAAGATGGTCTCTGTCATAGGGGAGCAGGGATGAATTCTCTGCATCCCCTGCACTCCAGAGCCTAGCATGCAGGAAAGCAGCTTTTGCTCTGCATCCCTCACCTGGTGCCATGGCAGAAGTCAGTGTTCCGCAGGTGAAGGTGTCCTAGAGAAGTCCCCACCAGAGCTGGATTTAAAAGGGGACTGGATTATTTTAGGGCCTCTCAGAAAACAGGTGGTTATGTAAGGTCAAATCTCAGCAAGTGTAATCAAATCTCAGTTCTAAGCTGATCACCAAGCAGGGTGTTAGGAGTTATTTATTCAAGCATTCCTCCCTGTGTTGTGACTTTCTTCTGAAACAGCCAGAGCTGAAGCTGGGACTAAATTAGGAGAGCTGTGGCATCCTCTCCTCCTCTGCTGACCTTGGGAAGTATCCCTTGCCAGCTGCACCCTGACATTCCTGTGCTAAATAGCACTCTCAACAAGGAAGTTGATTGCATACCAGAATTTATGGCTTCCAGTCAGGTTGTGTCCAGCCTCTGGCTAGCTCTTAGGTGCCTTATATACGTGTAGCTCAGGGTGTGCTGCTTGCAGCTATATAATAACATCTCTCAAAGCCATGAGACAATAATTAGCAGCCTCTCTATGGCAATGTTTTTCCTTTATTGCACTTGTGCTGTTCACGTATTATTGCTCTCACAGCCCTGCCTCCATAAACCTCCACAGTGTTATTATGGTAGATTCTTGTGGAAGAACTGGTGTGAGAATTGCTGTTCCTCCCACTCATTCTCTTTCTTTTATATTGCAGACTTCAGTGTATAAAGGAGAAAAACAAATGTGGTGTTCAACAGAAGAGCCAATGGCTATTGAATTCTCAGTAAGTATTATCCAGTATTATCCAGTTTTATATATTCACAGAAGATTAACAAGCAATGAATGTGCAACATTTGCACATGATGAACATTCTCCTCCCAGATCTAACAGACCCAGAAATAACCCATAGGAGTTTAAGTGGGTCTTGATGAAAATTGTATCATACCAAGGGAAAGCATGGCAAGAAATCATCATACTGGTCATTTTCACTGTCATCATCTGCAGCACTGGAGAGAGTCCTCAGAGGAGGATGTTCTTGTGGGACCCCATCATTGCCCTTCACAGCTGGTCAGTGGGGAAAAATTTCCCTTTTTCCCTCTCTTCTTTTCCTTTATTTTCTTTTTCTTTCTAGAAATATTTTTCAGCATTACAGTCATAATACACCATCCGCTGTCAGTGTCCCACAGATAAATCTTCATGTATACAAAATGGTCAGAACATCCTTTATGCAACTTGTGCATGCTCCACATGCAAAGATGACTACTAAACAATTTGCCTTTTCTATGGTGTGTTTCTGATGCTTGAGTGGACCAGAAAGCAAGATGGAATTCCAGGTCCTTGGCACAGAAGTATCCTTAGCAGCCTCCCAGCAAGAAGCTTCAAAGCAATTTGTAGGTGTGTAACTCCAGTGGGAAACAAGAATGTAGAGGATCTAAAAAAAAAAAAAAGTTGGAATCTGACAGTGAAAGACCATTAAAAAACAAAAACAAATGAACAAACAGACAAACTTTACAACATTAAGCTCTACAATTGTGCAAGATCTTGTGGGGAAAACAGAAGGCTTAGTACTAGCAGTACACCTAAGTAATAAAAAGGAGAAAATAATTTTTTATTTCATTTATTCAGATTTTCATCCCCTGGCTTTTTCCCTTCCACAGTTATTTCCACTAGGGATCTGCTATCACATGGCAGCTAGAGCATTTAGCATCCATGTGTCTGGGAGGTGAGCAGCAACCCAAGAGACAAGATAATGGAACTGGAAGAGCTGCCTCCTCTGCCCATTAGTGAAATGTTCCCAAGGAGAGTGTGAGATGCTCCCCAGAAGCAATCATTTCTTTCTGAAAACCTCAACTGTTACATGAAAAAAAATCATAATAATGGTGGCAAAGGGCTGAACTGAATGAGATTGCACAGCAGTGCTTTTATGTGGTAGGAGGAGGAAGGAAAGAGTGTCTGTTGCATGGTGTAAAAGCCATGGGAAGATATGTGCCCCCTTAAGAAGAAGAAAGAAACATTTTACCAAAATGTTTAGGAAGGCCTTCCTTTATTGGTCTGCTGGTTGCCAAGGAGAAAGAATCAATCATTCAAAAAGAAGGAAAGAAAAAAAGATGAGAAAAGGAGCTGTCAGGAAAGAAGACATCTGGAGTTGACTTGTATACAGTTTCTTCTTCTTAGCCCAGTGACACTGAATCATTTGCTTCACTGTTTTAAACCGAATAAAGCTCTGGAACTCTCTGATTTTCTGATTTCTGTTTAAATAAAAACATACTTTTTTTTTAACAAGGTACTTTTACTTCTCTGTTTAATTCAATGCATGATTTTAGAGAGTGCTAGTGTACCATTTAATCACTGTTCACAGGTACTGTATATATATATATATATATATATATATATATATATATATATATATATATATATATATATATGGCATGTAATTCATATATAAGGAATCAATTATGAGAAAAGAAAAATCTGAGTAAGACTCTTGAGACAAACTGTGGAAACTGTGATTTGTTTTAAGGGCAACCACAGGCTCTGATTTATAGCAGTCACATTGATAAACAGATTCACTACCTGGGCTTGATAAAAAAGAGAAAAATGCTAAGTTCAAGGTATGAATGTTGAGCTTGTTCTGTTAACATCATTCAGAAAAATAATCTTATAAATTAAAAAACAGATATTTTAATTGTAGACAGAGTGAAAACAAGAAAGAAAGGATGCTTTTTAAAATGATCTAACAAAGTCGATCCTATTGTGTCATTACCAAGAGCCTGGATGCAGACATTAAGCAAAGTTAGTGCACAGAAAGGATGCTCGCTAATGATATTGCTTTCTCTTGGGACAGCTTTGCAATGAGCATAGGGATGCTCTTAAACAATGAATCACAAAGCAATTAGAAATGACTGAGCTTTTTGTGCTGCATGGCCAAGAACATCAGTCTCCTCAGCAGATGCCTGCATGGCTGAGTCTCATCACCAGGTCTATGAACTTTCTCTCCACCATCCCTTCCATATTTACAACTAAAAATGATAAAAATGTAGTTCTATTTCTTGAGATCTGATGTTGAAAAGGGATAGGAAAAAAAAAAAAAAAAAGAGAGAGAGAGTGATTTCTTTTGGTTCTCCTTTTCCTGATTTATGCCAATCAGGGAAACATTTCTGTAAGTTACTAAAATCATGCTAACATAGCAGTCTTGTGAGTGTGAGATCCTAAGATTCCTTATCTGTTCCAAGAAAGGCCAGACTTATTACTGAGAGGAAAATATAACTCTGGTAACTAATGAAGTGTAGGACAGACTACATGGTTTTATATCATCTGCTATAAAAAGCACCAGAATGTCCCGAAGCATTTGTGCTTGGAAGCCTGGGGCGTGTAATGGTGTTCTGACATGTGCAAGTAGAGCACCCTTGACTGAATAAGAAAAGCAGGGACTTCATTTTTCCTGAAGAAGCTTTTGCAAAGGCCATTTTGCTTGAGGACTTCGTTGTGTCCCCAATACCTAGTTTGTATCACAGACAGGGCCATTGCTGATAGTTCAGCAAAATCCTATCACTTGATTTATATTTCCTCAAAGGATACTTTTCTACAGGTTTGTCATGGAACTCTTCCTCTCGAGCTCTGGTGGTGGAAAAACAGACCTCAGCCTCTTTCCTTTCTGCCCTATTGCCAGAGAGGTCTCCAGGGTATGAGTAGAAATCAGTACCAAGATCAGTCTCTTCTGCAAGATGAGCTCAGTGACACTGAATATAACTTTTGTACCCAGCAGCAGGCACAGATTCCCAAAGTCAGCACACCCGGTTTATTGCAGGCTGTTACAGATGCTTCATCCTGGCACCAAAATAACTGTGCAAGATTTCCTGAAGGAAAAATTATAAAACTCTCCACGAGCATGCCTTCTTCTCTGCATTTTTAATGGACTGATTTGCACGTATTCAAACAACCAAATATGTGTGCCAGGGAAAGCCCAATCCCCTGTATCTGTTTCTCTTTTCTGCACTAGCACAAATGACATGAGGCTTAGGAACATGGTCAGCACTGCAGGAGGAAGGCTATAGCATGTGAGTCCTCATTTGCAGGCACCTTACTACACTGAGTTTCTCACCAAAACACTGTTGACATGACAACCTCACTGATCTTCTATGAGACCAATAGACAATCCCATTCTAAATCCAGGTCCTACCATAGTTCCCTCACCAGCGATCCAGAGGCACTTGGTGGGCTGCCTGTTTTCAGAAGGCAAACCAACATTTTACTGCCTGGTTAATTCTCTGCTCACCTCCAGTTAGGTATCTTTGTGGCAAGTGATAAATCTCTATCAATAAGGCACAAAATCTCCCAAGTATGTAGCACAAGTTTGTCGAGATACATTTCAAAAGTTATTGTGGCCCACACCAACCACAGCCCTTATCAGCTGCATCCCTGAGTCTGTGCCTCAGCTGGGATTTCCTCCCACAGTCCCATGAGCTCAGTCAGCCTCTGGAAAAATCACTGTCTTGTAAACTTGTGTTTTCTTTGTCATTCAAGTGAGCTGCTATTTCTGGCATAACTACTGTTTCCATGGCTACACCAGCTCATAAATAGGGTCAGAAACCTTGGAGATGTTTTTTAAGTGATTCTTAGGAACAGAATATAATCTGGCTGGAGGTGATGAAGCTCCAGAGTTTTCCTTTGAGGCCATGAGGACTGCATTTCTGCTAGCGCCTGGACACCATGGTTTCTGCTGCAGCTCTGCTCTGGATCGAATGGCAAAAAGTTGGCACTGACTTTCCTGGGGAAGAAAAGCCCAGGCAGGGAGGGACAGGGGTTGGGTTCTCAGTCCCTGGGCAGGACTTGTCATCCATCTGGTGCAGCAGCCAGACACGAACATGAAGCAGGTGCCTCCTGCTCTGATAAGAAGCTGTGCACCCACAACTCTGCAAAGTAAATGCCACCCACTTAGTGAGGGGAAGGGATAGAAAGAGTATGGATGGAGAGAGAGGACTGATAATCCTAGGAGATAAGAAAGAATATGAGCAGTGGGGCCATTTAGGGAGTTTCTGTCATGTTTTGTCAGTGGTAAAAAAAATAACTTCATGTGATACCATGGATTTTTTTTTTCCCACAGTCCACTTTTTTTAAAAGGGAAACAAGAGAGATTTCATTGGAAAAACAGGAAAACAAAGGGAGTATTTTGAAAACAAACAGCCTGAACATATGTAAATTTTTAAGCCTCGGGAAAGAGCAGTACAAGGCTGTACAGATGATTTCCCCAGCAACTTCACCTACATAGAAGAAGGCAGAAGGGGAGGGGGAGCCCCTGGAAACCTGTCTGCAGCAGATGGAGGCATGGGAATGAGCAGCGGGGACGGGAGTGAGTCTGCTGCCAGCAGGCTGCACCTCTTTATATCTACACAAGCAGGTCCCTGCCCACAGTAATCACTTCTGCTGTCAGATGAGGATGAGTGCAATCAATCTCCACACATTTATATACAAGTTCTAGTCATCACAGGGAAAGAGAGAATGCCAACAAGATGCTGCCCCCATTCTCTTTCCTGTTCCCAGAAATTACTGCACAAACCTCTGAAAGCTGTGTGATTGTCTTAAATGTGTGTTTGCTCCTTCTCTGCTAGATTGAAAGCCTCTCAGCTACATCTAGGATTTACTTCCCAGCTTCTCAGTGCCCACTGAAGGGCTAGGACCTTATTGATTTTTCCAATGTAAGCTAAGAGTCTCACTGAAGGATTTATCTTGTCTAACTTCAGCCATCTGAGAGGTCAGAGGCCTCAGCTATGGGACTCTTGCTCAGCACCAGTGCAGTGCTGGACTGGCGTTCCCTGCCAGGGTCTGTCACATCAGTGAGAGTATGTCCCTTTTTGGTCCACACAGTCACACCCCTGGCTGGCTTGGCTGCTCCAAAATCCCCTCCTCCAACCCCACCCAAAGGCAAATCCCGTCCATCATAAACAAACCCACACTTTGGTTTCCTTCTGCCCTTGTGCTGCTCTGATTCTCCTGCTTGTCCTCCATTTACAGGCATTATTCTCAGTCCTGCCAGCCGTGATCTTGTGCAGTGAGGTGGATGCTCAGCAAGGGTAAGTGTGAGGTGCTTCACTAGAGCCAAGAGCCCCTGAGGGTTGTTAACCTTGTGGTTATACCTCCAACAAGTTACAGGCCATTGCTGAGGCACTGCTGCAACTGAGGATGAGGATGATCTTCCAGCACGTTTTTGCAGGACTCTGGACTTTCTCTTTTCATCCTGAGACTCCACCAACTCTTTCCACACCTCTGACACAGATCTTCCAGGCAGTAACAACAGGCTATTAAAACACATGGGAGATACCCAGGACTGAGTATAAAATAGTAAGCATTAGCACACATGGAGTTCTGATGGGCTGGAGTATGGGCTGAGCTCTACCTCTGGGGGCACCTCACAGTAACAATGCTACTGCTATCCAGATGAGGCCTAGCTGTTACCTCAGCCCAACACCTTGGGCCTCAGGAGTCCCTGGTTGGCCATCCATGTGCAACACAAAGGTTCCCATTCTCTCCCTGCCTTCCCATCTGCTTCACTAGAGCCCTGGCAGTGTCTCAGCAGCATTCCCTATGACTCCCTTGAGCAGACTCAGCCCTGTTGACACTGGGCTAGCTGAATGCATCACTCTGTAAGGTGTGTCTTTGCCCCTGCAGCACCTCTGGGAAGTTTATTGGAAACCCCTCAGGGCATTCACCCTTCCCTGACATGTGCAGATACTTGTGTTACCAAGAAGCATCACCATTCAAAGGGCAGGTTATTTCTTTATTTCTCTTTGCTTCTCCAGAGACGTCCCCCCAGAAGCTCCAGAGAAGCCACAACCTTCTTGCAGAAAGGGGCACGTCACCCCTCAGGCGTGTGCCGAGGCTCTGCTGCTCCTCCAGACCTTGCTGGAGCTGTGCCTGCACAACTCTGGTCTCACAGTACTCCCCTCATTTCACCCCTGCCGTGTGGATGCCCGCCCACGACTGATGCCCTGATGTCACCTGGTGGCAGGGTATATCTGGAGGACAAAGGACACCTCGAGACTCTTAGACTCTTTCTACGCAGGCTGGAGGACGGGAGTTGAATGATTTACAAGAGGAGCCCTTGGCACTGTAAGTGTTCCCCAGGAGCTCAAAGCAATAGCAAGGGGGGGCAGGGGGATGAAAAAGAAACTGGCTGAAAAACCCGGGGGAGAGAAAAGTCCAAATAAAACTCCATGGGGGAAAAATTTGGATGTTTGTGCTTGGAGAGAGTGAACAGATCCAGTAGCTGGGAGAGGGAG